TGGTTCATGGTTGACTAAAAGTTTGAAACTTTGAGAATATCTGATTTTGAATTTTGATGGTGTTTGTTTAGGGTTGGTTGAACAATGAAGGGAGCGACTCTCGTTGCTCTCGCTGCCACAATCGGCAATTTCTTGCAAGGATGGGACAATGCCACCATTGCTGGTTTGTTTACTGAATTGAATTGTTGTGAGATTTTGAGATTTGAGATTTTGTATAAATGTTGCAATGTTTTTGTGTACTGGATTGATTGCAGGAGCTATGGTTTATATTAACAAAGATTTGAATCTACCAGCCACTGTTCAAGGTCTTGTGGTTGCAATGTCATTGATCGGTGCAACGGTCATCACGACTTGCTCAGGACCGATATCCGATTGGCTTGGAAGGCGACCGATGCTGATTTTGTCATCGATCATGTATTTCCTCTGCGGTTTGATAATGCTTTGGTCTCCAAATGTCTATGTCCTGTGCTTAGCTAGGCTTCTTAATGGGTTTGGTGCCGGGCTTGCGGTTACGCTTGTCCCTGTTTACATCTCTGAGACCGCTCCTCCAGAGATCAGAGGACAGTTGAACACTCTTCCTCAGTTTCTTGGCTCTGGTGGAATGTTTTTGTCTTACTGTATGGTTTTCACTATGTCCCTGAGTGATTCGCCTAGCTGGAGAGCGATGCTCGGTGTCCTCTCAATCCCTTCTCTCGTTTATTTGTTTTTCACGGTGTTTTATTTGCCCGAGTCTCCTCGTTGGCTGGTTAGTAAAGGAAGAATGGACGAGGCCAAGGTGGTTCTTCAACAGTTATGTGGCAGAGAAGATGTTACCGGTAAGGTTTCTTCTCGCTATCTTTATTCGATTTAATCACTTGATTTCCGCTATTAACGGTTCTTTTTGATATTTTACAGATGAGTTGGCTTTGCTTGTCGAAGGACTAGATATCGGAGGAGAAAAGAAGTTAGAGGATCTCTTTGTAACTTTGGAGGATCGTGAAGCAGATGATGCACTTGAAACCGTTGATGAGAACGGACAAATCCGGCTTTACGGACCTCACGCGAATCAATCATACCTTGCTAGGCCTGTCCCGGAACAACAGAGTTCATTCGGGCTACGCTCTCGGCACGGGAGCTTAGCAAACCAAAGCATGATCCTTAAAGATCCGCTCGTGGATCTGTTCGGCAGTCTCCATGAGAAGATGCCTGAAGCAGGCGGGAGGAGCGGGGTTTTCCCTCATTTCGGAAGCATGTTCAGCACTAATGCCGATGTGCCTCACGGTAAACCTGCTCATTGGGAAAAAGATGTGGAGAACCAAGACAACAAAGACA